ATTTATTCTTTTTTTAAATGTCTGTATGAGAGTGCCAGATCCCCTGGAACTGGAGTTACAAATGGTTGGGAGCTGCCATGTGGATGCTGAAATTGAACCCAGGTCTCTAAAAGAGCAGACAGTGCTTTTGACCACTGAGCCATCTCTCCAGTCCTTTGTTCTGGGTATTTTTGGAGGGCGGGGGTCTTTTTGGAGGGTTGGTTTTTTGAGCCAGGGTTTCTCTGTGTAGCTTTGGAGCCTGTCCTGGAACTCACTCTGTAGACCAGGCTGGCCTCAAACTCACAGAGATTCACCTGCCTCTGCCTCCTGAGTGCTGGGATTAAAGGCATGTGCCACCACACCCAGATTCTTCTGGGTTTTTTAAAAGCAAAATTTATTTTGTTTTTATTTATGTGTATGTGTGTTCATGTCTCTGTGTGTATATATGTGTATGTGTGTTCCTCTGGCCTCTGCAGGCACATGCACACTCGTGTAGTTACCCACACACAGACATACAGATACATGATTTAAAATAACACAAATCTTAAACAAAAAGAAAGGAACTGACCAAATGTCCATGCTGATTCAGCATCTCTGAACTAACCTCCAGTGGTAAGGGGATTTTCAACTGTTATTAAGCATCATTATTAAGACCAGTTTTGTTAAAAAAAAAAAAATTGAAAAGAAAACGTATTTGATCCAAAACTTCTATCAAAACATTGTCCATTCTAAATGAAATATCAAGGGCCAGCCAGCAAGATGGCTCAGTGAGTTAAGGCACCTGCCACCAGGCCTGAAGTCCTGAGTTGTGTACCTTGGACCGACATGGTAGGAGAGAACCATGTCCTACAAGCTGTCCTCTGACCTCCACACATGCTGTAGCATGCAAATGTGTACACATACATACAAATAAATGTAATTTTAAAAATAATTAGTACTGAGAACAACTCAGTATTCCCTTCTAAAGCCCACAGATTTCCTTTTCTCTATTCAATAAAGGTGTGTACCCCATTTCTGTTTTTATCTAGACCATCAGAACCCTTCAAAGTTAGCATTAGATTCTCGGGAACAACCAGGATGAACATTTGATTTTTAATTTATTTTCTCCAGTATTTTCTGGTTTTACTCATATTCCTTTGGTTTCATTGTCTGGACTTTTCTTGTTGTTGTTGTTGTTTTCATTAAGCCACAACAACTTCTTTTTAAAATTACTTTGAGATATAAATAAGTTGCACATTCTATTCAAGTGACGAGTAGCAGATGGTTTGTGAATTGGACAAAGCGGAGAAGAAAAGGACTAGATGAGGACTTTCAAAGCCATTTAAGAAAAGTGACTCTGTTTGCTTATGCTGCTTAGTTTTAACTGTCAACTAGACACAACCCATAATCACTTGGGAAAAGAGTCTTAAATGAGGAATTTTCTAGATACTTCATGGAGCCTTTGAAGTCCTGCCACCCACTGGCCTATGGGCATGTCTGTGGGGGAGTGTCTTAATCGTTAATTGATGTAGGAAGACACAGGTCCATGTGAGAGGTACCATCCCCGCAGCAGAGGGTCCTGAACGGTGCATAGCTGAGATGGAGCAAGCAAGGATGTCTCATTCTCTCTTTATTCTTGACTATGGACGCAATGTGATGTAACTGGCTGCTTGGATCCTTGCCTAGCCTTTCCTGAAATGATGGACTGTGATCTGAAATTGAAAGCCAAGTAAACTCTCTCTCCCCAAAGATGCCTTTTGTCAGCACATTTTATCACAGCAACCAAAATGAAGCTAGAACAACTGACCTGTTGTGTTGTTGTTGTTGTTGTTTGTATGTGTTGGTTTGATGCTATATTGTTTATATTTTGGTCCTTGATGGCTGTTAGGAAGAGAAATATATTCAAATATGATAGACTTCCTCTATCTTGTTATCTTTACAAGACAATTGTCTAGCGCACCCTGGTCCCTCTAAATTAGTGATTCTCAACCTTCCTAATGCTGTGACCCTTTAATACAGTTCCTCATGTTGTGGTGATCCCCAACCATAAAATTATTTTGTTGCTACTACTTCTTAACTGCAATTTTGGTACTGTTATGAATCGTAATATAAATATCTGATATTCAGGATATCTGATATGTGACCCCTGTGAAAGGGTCATTCCACCCTCAAAGGAGTCATGACTCATAGGTTGAGAACCTCTCCTCTAAATTGATTAGCTCTGCCTATCAGGAAGAGAATGTCTTGTTGCTGCAAAAACCTCCCTGCACCTCTGTCATGTCCAGGCAAAGCAGACAAGAGGGCAAGGATGGGAGCAGGTAGGAGAGTGAATGGGAGACAGGACTTCAAAGGCTCCATAAAGTATGATCTAACCTAAGACCTCCTGACCACTCCCTGTAAGAAGGAATGCTTTGTTCTAAGTAGTGGAGTGCCTACAATGAGGCCCAGGCATAGATTTCCCTGTTAGAAAGTACCAAAGGCAGAAATGGTCATACTTCCTGTTTTCTGGTCCTTCTTCTGATGGAATACCACAGTTCGCCTCACTTAAGCCACAGCCACCTGGGTTTTACTCAGTAACAATTGAATATGTCTCTGCTTTTCCAAGTTTCTTGTGCCCTCTTCAAATGCTACGTATGTTTGCTACTGAAGATTTAGAAAATAGATATAAGCAAATGTTAAAGACTAATAGTAGCTGATGTGAGGAGCGGAGCTGAAACATTTACACTTGAGCAGTTAATGGGAAAGGATACATGAGAGGCGGAGACTTGGAGTACGGTTTTATCTGTCCCCTACCTGTCTGGGATATCCTTGATGGTGGTTGTTTTAGATGTGAAAAGAAAGGTTAGGCCTGGCCCACCTGCTCTGCTAGCATTCTGGGATCAAAAAATGGTTAAAGCCAGTCAGGGTGGTGCACGCCTTTAATCCCAGAACTCCAGAGGCAGAGGCAAGTGGATCTTTATGAGTTCCAGGCCAAGGCTACTATGTCTACATAGTGAGTTCCAGGCTAGCCAAGCCTATGTAGGCAGATCTTGTCTCAAAAAACAACATCATGGTTAAGCAGGAGACAGCTGCTAAGCCTAGTAGTGTTCACTATGTAGTCTAGGATGGACTCAAATTTCTGTGAATTTTCCTCAGCCCCTCAAGCATCCAGACTACAAGCTTGTACCCCCACACCCAGCTTTTTTGTTGCTATTGTTTTGAAAAAGGGTCTTTCTCAGTAGCCCAGGCTGGTCTCACACTCACAGTCCTACTGCCTCTGACTCCTGAGTGCTGGGTTATGTATGCGCCATTTTTGAGTTGTTTGATCAAAGTAAATTTCACAGCTTATGTATGTTTCAGAGTCCCCAGCCTTTAAACTAATATGCTATCAACTCTCACACACTGACTGGAGCTACTGTTACCATCTTAACTGTGACCTAGCCTACCTTCCCATCTAGAGCTCATGTCACATGCAACTTGTCTTCTGAGAGCCACATGTCCAATGTTGTCTACTCAGCAACATCATGATGTCATACGTCACCTGGACTCTCAACCTTGTGATGTCCAAAATGGAGTGAATCATCTCTATATACATCCAACCCCCTGCCTTCTTCACTGTTCCCTGTAAAGTAGATAGAACAAACACCTGCTTGCTCATGCCGCAACCTAGAGGTTGACCAGATACCTCTTTCTCCTTTACTCCTAAACTAAGCAGTTATCACATTGCTTTCTCCTTGATGGCTACTTTGTTGTTTTGTTTTATTTTGTTGGTTTGAGACAGGGTCTAGCATTGCCTGTTTCTCCTGCCTCCACCCCTTAAGTACTAGGATTACAGGTATGCACCACTATCACCAGCCTGTGTTTCTTTACTACATCTATTTCCAGGAAGAATTTCCAACGAGCAGTAAATGTTCCTCAAATAAACCTCTCTGGCTATGACACTGCCTCTGCACACAGCCATTTTCCTTTCTCTCTCTTTTCTTTTGTATTCTATTTCTTTGCTTCTTTTCTTTGAGTGGTGCCAAGAGTCTTGTACATGCTTGGCAACCATTCTTACTTCGAGCTCTATCCTTAGCTCCTTCTGTTATCCACACTGTTACCAGTTTAATCCAACCAACCAGCACCTCTTGCCTAGGCAACTATCATAGTACCTAATTGGTCTCTCTGCACTTCACTCTTGCCCTACACCCCTTTCCAGTATCTAATTCATACATCCCACTGTGGCTAGAATGGTTTCTTTTATAATAGACTATAGGAACTGGCAAGACAGTTTAACTGTTAAAGTTCCTTCCATGTAGGCCTGAGGATCTGAGTTTGAATCTCCCATGCCCATATAAAAACCAGGCCCGGCAGCATGCCTGTAACCCCTGTGGTAGTGTGTGTGTGTGTGTGTGTGTGTGTGTGTGTGTGTGTGTGTGTGTATGTAGACAGATCTTTGGAGTTCATCCACCAGCCAGCCTAGATGAATCAATGAACTCCAAGTTCAGTGATGGACCTTGTTTCAAAATAAATAAATATCTAGCTACAGTGCCATATGCTTTGAATACCAGTACTTGGGAAGCAGAGGCAGGAGGATCTCTGTGAGTCTGGGGCCAGTCTGATCTATATAGCAAGCTCCAGGACATCCAGAGCTACATAGAGAGAGCCTGTCTATAAATAAATAAGTAAGTAAATAAGGAAATAAATAAATAAAGTGGAGAGTGACAGACACCTGACATTGACTTCTGGCCTTCATAGGCATGCATAACCACACACACACACACACACACATGCTCTCTCTCTCTCTCTCTCTCTCTCTCACACACACACACACACACACACACACACACACACACACACATGCTCTCTCACTCACACACACACTTGTTCTCTCTCTCTCTCTCTCTCTCTCTCACACACACACACACACACACACACATACACACCCCTTCTATAACTGTCTACCATAACTCTCAGGGGAAAGCCCATTTGTAACTAGTCTGCCATCAGCCGTCAGCAGGGATGCCCCCCTCTCCCCCCCGCCCCCCCCTCCTCCTCCCCCGCAAGCCTACCCTTTCCTTCTCCTCCTTCCTCTCTATACCTACGTCATATCAGCCCCATTCCCTTTTCTGAAATAACCCAACATTCCTGTAGGTTCGAGGCTGTCACGTGTGGCTGAAGCTCATCTTCACTTACATTTAACTTAGCTGATTTCTCATCCTCTCAGTTCCAGAAAAGGGAAAAAAAGCGTGGCTTCCTCACGGGGAGTCCTCTCTAACCCCTTCTCACTGCTAGCTGAGATCTTTCCATTCTGTCTCTTTGGGGGTCTACTTTCCTTGATTGTATATTTTTTCACTTGTAAAAGGAAAAGGAGTGTGCCCCTAAGTTCACAACAGCTCTCCACACTAGACCAAAGGCAAAAGCAGTAGCAATGTCCATCACGGTTGACAGAATAAACAAAATGTGTTGCACGTTCACACAGTGAAGTCTCGCTCTGCCTTAGAAAGAAGAAAATTCTGATAGAAAACTGCAGCAATGTGCTTGATTACACAGATCATTGCCTCTGTTCTGTCTGTCTGTCTGTCTTCTCCATTGTCCATGGCTTCTTGAGAGGTCAGGCATTTGATTCCCTTTTGGTATGTCTTCTCAGCATTTGGCTCTGGGCCTGGGATAGGACAGTTTCTCATTATAGAGGAGAAGGAGATCCTGGAAGACGGAGAGAGCTCAGATGAGGGTCAAGTGGGCCCAGGAGCCTGGGTTGCTGCCTGTTTAGTGCCGGCCCCTGAGAAGACGTGCAGCTGTCTCTCCTCTTGTTGCCTAACCCGACGCAGACTTATGAGTAAGATTCCTTTACTTAATGCTACCTGAGCCTTCCTCTTCCCGGAGGGCTGCAGCTCTGGTTCTCCCTCCACAAACCCTCCTTGAAGCCTTTTGGGCAATCATAACACATGCTCTTAGAGCCAATCTTCCGAGCTAGCCTCAGCTTTAAGAGTTTTTAGAGACTCTACGCAATGTGCATTACAGTTTCCTAAGTAGATCAGGCGACATTCTTCAACTGCCAGTCTGGAGCCTCCTTGGGAACTTAATACTGAACTATAAGACAGTGAAGTTCAGATTCAACTCAAGGCAACCCAGCTTCAAACTCAACCACCGAGGCTAACAAGCTGCTTGCTACTCCTTGGGATAAGCATCACCTAAGGGCTTGTGACTTGTGACTAAAGACAGAAGAGGCATGGAGGAACTGAGCACATTCTCTCCCCACCCAGCCCCCTTGCTGTGAGCCTCCAGGTGTTGCTCTCTGGGAGGTGGAGTGACTCACCTGTCTAGCAGATTTGGAAAGTGCTTTGGCTCTGAGCTTCCTGGAGCTGCATCTGCTGGTCATTACCCACCCTGAAACTCTCTATCATGGATCCATCAGTCCAACTTGGAAGAAAGGTGTCCTCTAGGTTGACCAGTCAGAGACTCTAGAACCTTCTGAGAGCCCTGAGTATGCAAAGCAGAAGAGTACATTTAATCCTAGGCTCCTCTGACCTGAAACACCCCATGCTCAATTCCTAGTAGTGCCCACCCAAAACAGGCCCACCCTTCTACCCCTGTGAGACCTCCGTGTCAAGACATGTCTCCCCTTGCGCTGGAAGTATAGCTCAATGGTAGTGTATTCACATATACCTGTGTGTACCTAGGAGCCATTCCCAGGACTACAGCCCATGTTCCAAGTAAAGAGGGCCCTGGTAATGCTCCCAGGGTAAGTTTCAACATCTGAACCATAAAACCCAGCTTGTCTCAGTTACAGCTGTCTTGAGCTCAAGGACTCCCTGCCACCAGGTCTCACTAAATGCATGTAGATGCTATGGGAGGACAACACCCCCTCCTTAACTGGGTGTGCGGAGCCCCCTCAGTCCTTTCAACTCATTGACTTCTCACAGCACCCCCATGAGGGAGCTACAGTTAGGAGTCACAGAGAATTGGAATCATTTGGCCCAGGTCCTTAGCATTGAAGGCAAAGTGGAAGAACTGAGGATCTAGTCCCAGGCTGGCTGCTTTTAGAGTCACACTAAGCTCAAATGCAGAACAGCTAACGGCCATCTCAAGAGCTTTCCTGGGGGCCTCAGTATCCTAATGTTCTCGTGTCAGTGCGCACACCTTCCACATGATCCAAGTAAAGAAGGCCTTGGGGCAATGCCAGAGGTCAGCATGAACTCATGCCACACCATCAACTCTGACTTGTTTCAGCCACTGCTACCTTGTGCCCAAGGCCTTCCAGCTGTCAGGTCTCCGATGGACCCAGGGGTAGGACTCGGCCTTCCAGAACTCCCAGTCTACACTGTTGCTCTATCATAAGCACAGAACAGAAGTAGGTCAAGTGTCTCCAGCCTTGACCTTCCAAAGTGAGGGACTTTCCAAAGCTCCTGTCCCACTGCCTTCAGCTCTGGTTTCCTGAAAATAGGAAGGCACAGAAAGATGACAAGAAGACAAAGACATGACCATCTGGTAGGACTTTGTTGAATGTCCCCAAGTTCCACTTTCTTTATTTAGACAGAGAGTTTGGAATTCCATCTCGTTCAGTCTTGGAGTCCTCCCACTCTGGTGGTTCTGATGACTCACCCCCAGGTCCCCTACAACTACAAGCACTCCAGTACAATCCCAAGGCTTACTAAGATCTGATAGGAGTCCCCAGGCTGCGCATCCCTTCTTGGAATTCTGGCTGTTCTCTGTAGCTCTTCCTCACATTAACTTTCTCAAGTCCACAACTCAACCTCATCCCCACCCCCATCCCTGGCCAAAAGACAGCAACGCATGGTGTCCACTGGGCCGGGTGGGCAGCCCTGACCTGAAACACACACACACACACACACACACACACACACACACACACACACACACACACACACACACGTGCACACGCACACGTGCACACGCACACGCACACACACACACACAGAGACAGAGATTAATTTTCCTCTGGTTGTGTACATTCCTGTTCAGGGCATCACCCTCCAGTTGTGAGTGTGCTCTTGAGACTTCTGATTGATTTCTCTCTCTCTTGCCCTCCCTCCCTCCCTCCTTCCTTCTCTCCCTTCCTGTTTCTCCCTCTCTCCTCCTTTCCCTCTCTCTCTCCCCTTCCTCTTTCCTCTTCCTATCTTCCCCTCTCTCTCCCTCTTTCCTTCCCCCTCCCTTTCTACCTCTCTTACCTTCCTCCTTTCCTTCCCTCTCTCCCTCTTTACCCCATTTCTATCTTTTTAAAAACTGAATCTTCCTCCTTTCAACTGCTATCCTGCCATAATTCCCAGCCCTTTCCTTCCGGGATTTCCCCTCCCATCTTCTCTCAACTTCCTGTTATATGAGTATGCCCTGAGCACTCCAACTGCTTAATGCTAATTCCAAGCCATATGTTCGTTCTCTCTCTCTCTCTCCCTCTCCCGCTCCCTCTCCCTCTCCCGCTCCCGCTCCCTCTCCCTCTCCCTCTCCCTCTCCCTCTCCCTCTCCCTCTCCCTCTCCCTCTCCCTCTCCTCTCTCCTGGTCTCATGTACCCCAGGCTGGCCTTAAACTCACCATGTAGCTAAGAAGGATCTTGCACTCCTAATTCTCCTGCCTTTACCTCCTGAGTGCGGGCATCACGGGCATCCAGCACTCCATCCATGCCTGTTTTATATAGTGCCGGGATTGAACCCAGGGCCTCATACATGCCAAGCAAGCTCTTTGCCAACTGAGCCTCATCTCCAGCTCCCAGCCTCATCTTCTGATCATTTCCCATCTTTCACAGGACTCCTCTCTCCCTTCTTGAGGCCCCTCCTTGCTTTCTGGGTCATGGCACTATTCCGATACTTATCCTCCATCGCATGCCTACTTCTTGGTTTTCTTTGCTAGGTCGGCAAGCTGTCCAGTAAGTGTATACATCTTGTAAAGAGTCCACATTTACTCCTGCTTCTCTCTTCATTGGGCAGCTCACAAATGCCCATCTCCTGTTCCAAGAGATCCAATGACCTCTTCTGGCCTCCATAGACACCCACATACACTCACACAGACATACACACATAAATAAAAATAAAAAAATAAATCTTTTGAAATGCGTTTCTGTTGTTCCACATTTCTCAGGTTTGGGTACTCTGTTATGGCAGCCCTGGGAATCACAGGCAGCTGAGAATGCTGACCCTGACAATGACTTAAATACCTCCTTACTGGGACAAGGGTGCCTTGGAATACTAAGTGAATTGCTAATCCCCAGGGCCTCTGTTGAGAATGCTGAGTAGATTCTGACCCTCCTTGATTCAAACTTGTCCTTCCATCTAGATCGCATCACTCCAGGCGTTTGTGACATGTGGTGATTTAAAAACCTGAGACACCCTGAGGACATACCGTAAAGCATGCTCAAACCTCCAGCTCCTGTCTCTGGCTCTCACAACCCACTGGCTTCCAGTGCTGGACAACCAGTTGGAGAATTCAGCTAAGGAACTGGGTGTCCACAGAGAATTTGGGGTTCTGGGGGAGTCTATGAACCTGGCATGGTTTCTGTACACATTCATGCGGACTAGCTCCTGGGACATCTGCGGTCTCATACCGTGGTCAGGACACCCTGGTAGGTTCTCTGTCTGTTTCCCAGCAGTGACGCACTGCTCCATGAGGAGAAGCAAGCTGGGATTCCACAGCCTCTGTTTCTTCTCTCTTCTGTCTTTCCAGGAAGCACTTGGAACAGGATATAACAGCAGCACTTTCCACCCAGCCCGACATCCTGCTTCCAGATGCAAGACTCTGAATGGGCACAAGGACAGCCCTGAAGCAGCTGCGAGCAGGGAGCTCGAGGTTCCGATATGAAAGTCCGAGTCCAGCAGCTTTCAGCTAGGCCCTCGCATTGTCTTCATTCTCCCCTTTCTTGGCCCTCAAATGATCAGAATAACGTGTGAGAAATGTCCCCCACCGGCTCTGGCATTTAGAACACTTAGCGTGGTTCCCACTTGGTGGCGCTGTTAGGGGAGGTTATATCTCAGTCTACTCTTAGACCTTCTTCATCAGCTCCCTGAGGTTAGCACTGTCTGATATTAAATTCCCAGAAACAAAAAATTCATTAGTGTCTTCACTGACTAATATATATGATTATAATTGTTCCGTTTATTATTAGTTATTGCTAATCTCTTTCTATGCGTAATATATTAATCAAACCTTACTGTTGCAGTGTCCATACTGGGAAATAAACACTGTACATGTGAAATTCAGGACTGGCTACAGTTTCAGGCATCCTTGGAGTATCCTGGCACACACGTCTCTCTGGAGAAGAGAGGGTCACTGTACATAAAATGGGAATGATGGCAACCTCAGCACCTGTGTCATGGGACATAACACCTGACTGTGTGCTGGGAACTGAACTCAGGTCCTTTGCAAGGGTAGTCTGTAATCTTAACCACTGAGCCATCTCTCCAGTCTTGGCTGATGGGTTTTTGTTGCTTTGTTTAGTTTCGTTGTGAGATAGGGTCTCATGTTCCTATCTCCGAGGCTGGCTCCGTGCAGCCAAGTTGACCCTGAACTTCTGATCCTCTTGCCTCCACATCCCAAGTGCTGAGATCACATGCGTGCACCACCACACCCAGGTCTATGTCGTGCTGAGGATGGAACCAAGGGCTTCCTGCAAGCGAGGCAAGCATGGTTACCAACTGAGCCACACCTCTAGCCTTCAAATGGGTTATCTATTATATTCTAATTAGACTTCTCAGAAACTTAGTGGTTTTAACATACCAATAAACATTATGTGACATAGTTCTAGCAGCTCTAGAATTTGGAAGCAATTCAGCTTCATGGTTCCACCCAGGGTCTCTTAAGGGGTTACAGACATTGTTTAGGGATTGTCTGCAGTGGTTCTCAACCTTCTTAGTCCTGCAACCCTTTAATTCAGTTCCTCATGTTGTGGTGACCCCCAACCATAAAATTATTTTCATTGCTACTTCATAACTGTAATTTTGTTACTATCGTGCATCACAATGTAAATATCTGAAATACAGGATGTCTGATATGAGACCCCCTCAATGGGTCACGATCCACAGGTTGAGAACCACTGGACTAGGGTCTGTTTCTGAGGCAGGTCATTCATGTGGCCTCCATGTTAGTGTTAGCAAGGGGCCTCAACTCTCCACCTCATGATCTCCTTCAGAGGACCACTTGAGTATCCTCACAATATGGCAGCCAGCTTCTCCGCTGTCAGGTGAATACAAGAAAATACAGCAGAAGCCACAGTGTCTTTTAAGATCTACCCTCAGAAGTCACACTGTACCACCATGTCACGTTGACCCAAAAAGGTCCTGTCCATTTGGGGAGGGGCTATAGAAGGACTGGCTTTATTAGGTTTTCCTTGTTGCTGACCAAACATCTGACAAGAAATAATTTAAGGCCTTGGGGTGTACCATGGTGGAGATCAGGGTTCAGTTCCTACATAAAAGGAGCATGGTGGTGTGTGCCTGCAACCTCAACACGTACGGTGATTAGCAGTTCATGGGCTTCCTCTGGTATGTAGCACATTTGAGGACAGCCTGGAAAACAGGAGATCTCAAGAAGTAGAAGGAAGAAAAGGAGGAGGGCCACTTAAAAGAAGGGGTTATTTTGGCTTGTACTTTGAGGTGTTCAGCCCATCATGGAGGAGAAGACACAGTGGCAAGAATGTGAAGCAGCTGGTTACACTGAGTCTGTCGTCAGGAAGCCAAGAGCAGACTGAAATGGGGCTGCCAGGCTATAAAAACTCCAAGCCAGGCCCTTCAGTGACCTACTTCCTCCAAGGAGGCTCCACCTCCTGCGGGTTCCACAACCTTCCCCAACAGCACCACCAGCTGGGACCTGTAGATGAAATTCTAAACAGTCTTAGTAAATAAGAAACACAGAGCCAAATACAGAGTTAAAGCCAAAGAGGTCGGAGCAAGAGCCACGACTACCTTATCTGACCACCTCGCCGCTGTCATTTCCCGAGAGAGAGAGAGAGAGAGAGAGAGAGAGCTTCCTGTGTGACTTCTCTTTTATTGCCTTTCTGTTCTTCCTTCTCATTGGCTCTAAACCCAGTTACATGACTTCCTCATCACTGCCTGTCTATACAGACCTCCAGGTCTCTATGGTTGGTACTGGGATTAAAGGTTCGGGTCACCAGGCTTGGCTGTGTCCTGGACCACACAGAGACTTTGCATGCCATGTGATCAGATTAAGGGCATGTGCCACCACCGCTGGACTTCTGCTTAATGGCTCGCTTTTAGCTCTGACCCCCAGGCAACTTTATTTATTAACATACAAATAAAATCACATTTCAGCACAAATAAAATATCACCATAGGGACCAAGTGTTCAAACACATGAGCCAGTGGAGGATGTTTCACATCCAAACACACACAGACACACACACACACACACACACACACACACACACACACACACACACACAATTTTTACTTTAAAACAACTACATGAGGAATTGAGAAGGGATCAGCAGACAGTGAGAAGGGAAAATGTTTACAAATATGAGTGAAAGAGGCAGAGGGACTGTTCAAGAAGAGCCAAGCGAACACATTCTAGCCAGCTGGAGTAAGACAGTAAGCGTTAGGGCACAGGGTTTGGCTAAAACATGTTCAATGTTCCTGCAGGCTTGTTTGATGTGGGGATTGGAGGCTGAGTAATGGATCTGAGGAGTGTGAAAAAAAAAAAATTCTCCTCCAAGGGACATTTCAGGAGCTTGTCCCAGTAGGGTCAAGGCAATACCAGGAAACGGACTTGAATAGCTTCCTCAGATCAGGGTAGGAAACTGAAGTTGATAAGGAGTTGGAATAGAGTCTCCCAGTTGGAGGAGCTTCCCCAAAAGGAAACTTTGGAGAGGGAGATAGTCTGTGTTTACACAGCATGCCTCCAATGTCTGCAGTTTACACAAGCTGTATCCTAGGGCCAGGCCGAAGATAGAACCGCCTGACCCAGAAAAGCCTAAGTCTGGGCACAGCGCCCAACCAGCACTGGAAGGGAACTTCTGCCCAGCCCCACCCAGCCCCGGGGCTCAGAGTGGGGGTGGGGGATTCCCTGTGCATGTAGACCCTACACTGGATGTACTTAGGAGCTAAGCAAAGCCATGACAATGGCTTGGAGAACCACCTCTTCAACTCTTCTTATCCAGGCTAGGGATGTAGCTCAGTGATAGTATCATGCTTGCAGAGCACACTAGAAGTCCTAGGTTCGAGGCCCAGCACCACTAAGAAAGTGAGGGGGAGGGAGGGAGAGTCTTCTAGGTCATTTCTGTTAGCAACAGGGAATGGTACGACAAATTCCTGATGTATGGCGCCTATACACCGTCCAACAATAAAACTTAATGAAAATTAATGTGGTTTCTCTAAATGCTCCCAATGGGATGTTCGGAGCATTCCCAAAAGGACCATCATGGTTTGCAGATCAGTAAGTTTGTTCAAAGAGAAGATGGTGAGTTAGTTTCCTGATTTGAATTGAATCATCCCTTGAAGCTGACCTTGGACAGCTGCTTGGTAGGGCTGGGAGCCTCTGTTTTCTTGTGTAGGATATGAGAAGACTTAACAGACAGTGCCTAGCAGACAGCAAAGAGGTCAGGAAAACAGGACCCACCAGAGCTGGCATGGTGGCATATGCCTGTAAACCCCACATTCGGGAGGCTGATGAGAAGAATCATTCAAGACCTGACTGGGCTAGACCAGTGAGTTCTAGACCAGCTTGGGCTATATAAATAGTCACAGCCTGTCTCCGAAATCAAGCCAGGCTTCCTGACTTCAGATGCACTGTGACCTGCTGCCTCCTGCCTTCCCTCCATGATGGACTATATCCTTGAATTGAAAACTGACATAACATTTTAATGGAGTTCTAAATTAAGAGAACACCATGAGAAATGAGCTCATAATGGAGAGAACGCTACAGCTTTGAAAGAGACAAACTTTTCAAGTGGTTTATTACATGACCCATAGTGGACCCCCTAGGAGACTGGAGTGGGGGGGTCAGCTATCTCAGAGGGTGAACACAAAAGGGATAAAACATAAGTGAAATGAACTATACCACAAGGAAGACTTAGCAGCTGCAATAACAAAAGAGCGAACGTTTTGGGGACAGAAGTCGGACAAAATCATCTAAAAGGAATATGAACATTTTTTCATGAAAAAAAATTTTAAAAATTGCTAATGGATTTTAAAAGGAGGAGGCTATAGAGATGCTTAATGGGTAAGAGCACTTGCTATCCAAGCATGAAGACCTGAGGTTGAATCCTCAGCAC